GGGATGCGGCCTCCTAAGTACCTTGACAAAGAGGACGTGGATGGCATTTTCCGAAAACTTCACGACTCGCTCCGAGACGAAGTCCTTGACGGCAAATACCGTGACACGGTCGACCACAACGTGGAAGAGTGGGTAGCAAAGGCGATCTTGGTAAGGGGTCTTGCCTTCAACGGGAGCTCCGTCCCCGACTTCTTCGAAGAATATGACGGCTGAGTGGGGCAGACGCCTAACCACCGCAAACTTCAACGCCAACCGGTGCGGCTTTTACACGTCCTACTACATTCTTGAGGCCCATATCATTGGGCTGAGATCAGGACACCTTTCTCCGATACTCCCCAACGATGTGTCCGGGGAGGGGTTCAAGTTCCAGGTGGGGCTGCTCGCACAGCACTGCGGAATATTGCAGGCCATGCGGAGAAAGGCCGGGTTCGATCCTGCCGCGCGCCTCAAACGGGCTATGGACACGATACGGGAAGGCATTAAGAAGGGGTACGTCTACACCCTCAACGACCTCAGCAGTATGGACGATCTGATCTACCGGACGTCCACCGTTGCCTACGACACCTGCTTGGCCGACCGTCCTCAAACCCAGGATGACATCAAACAGGAGCTGTCCGACCCTGTACCAAGGAAATACCGCTTCCGACCCCGCGATCGCCATCGACCCGGAATTCGCCTTACACCAGGCCCCGGCGTGAAGGACGAAGACGAGCCCGACTTTGCTGGATCAGCGGAGGATGAGCTGGGATCGGATGGTTCTTCGCACGAAGATGACGAGAAGCCTGACGACCTTGACGAGCCCATGGGCGACGACGAGGAGGAGATCCCTCCCCCTCCGCCACCGCCCCCGGCTCCTCCTGCGCCGCCTGTCCCGGTAGAACCGGAGACTCCCGTGGTGTCGCATGCAGGCGTCAGTTCTGGCGATGCTGTGCCAACTCCTCCTCCTCCTCCTCCCGCTCCCATTGCGGCAGGCGTTACAACGACTGGGGATCCGTTTGAGGAAGAGGACATGGCCATCAATACTCGTGTCCCTGACACCGAGTCCGAGCTGGAGGGTGAGTCCGACCAACCCAAGGCCAGGAGGACATCTCGTGGTCGGGTCCCCGCGCCCGAAAAAGGGCAGGGGGGCGTTCAGGTCCCGCCTAGCGGGCAACCCAGCTCTAAGAGCATGGCCCAGCCTGCCCGTCCCATCCCCGGTCCCCGCGAGAAGCGGTGTGGAAGGTGGGGAGAGAAGGGGCAGGACCAAGGGTTTCTACACCCAGAAGGATCCTTTTACCGGCGAGGACGCGACTCCCCGAGTTCGTCTTCGATCGGGTGGTCCCGGAACTCCTGCGTCCCCACCACGGGATGCCACCGGTTCCTTGGGCGGCCATCGCGGCTATGACCCGCGTGATGACGACAACGACGAGTGGGAGCTTCCCCCGGGTGTGCCTCGGACCACTCGTGCGGCAGATGAGTCGCGGCCCCGACGAGATGACGATCGGTCAAGGACCGCGCTTGGGGCCCGCGAGGATCGTCGTGGTCCTAAGGGTGAGGGGAAGGGTCGAGGAAAACATCGACCTGGCAAAGGGGGACGTGAGGATCCCGGCCCGCCCCGACAAAGGGATGATCGTGGCAGGGACACCCGCGGAGGCCGACGCGATGATCGCCGACCTCCTCCACGTCATGAGGAGACCTCCGAGAGGCGCGGCCCGGGGCGAGATGAGCGCCGCGGACGTGATGACCCGGGCGATGACCGTCGCGATCGCCACCGGGACCGGCGCAGGGATGACCGACGTCACCAATCAGATCCCCCTCCGCCTCGCCGACCTCCGGCTGGTGACCACAATAGGGGTGGTGGTGAGGATCGCCGTCGGGATGGAGGAGGTGATCGAGGTGACCGTGGTGGACGCCGGAGAGACGACGTGCCCAGGGACCGGGAAGAACCTGGTTCAGGGTGGTAGGCGGGTACCGCAATCAGCATCCGCCTTAGAAGGGCGAGGATAGTACGTGTGTCGCCGAAAAACGCGACCGCGCCGGTCCTCCTCTCGCCCATGCGGCGCTGCTGGGGGTGATGGTCTCCATTGCCCTGTACCGCTGATCCGGCGTTGCTCGTGTCCCTCCCGCACCGCTGCCGTGCGCGCCGGAGACGGTTCCCCTGGCGATCCTGTGTGAGGCTGTGACCGCACTAGAAGTGCCGGGCCGGCCGTAGCCGGATATTTTCACACCAATTTCGGAACTTCCGTTTCTAATTTCCTCCCAACTCGACTACTCTTCCAACCACTCCACGGCGTGCAGTGAGGCGCGGTGATCCAGATAGGGTCCCCCTCCGCATGGTGTCGTCCTATGACAACGCATGAACGGCACGAGAGGAATCTTCGTCTGGTTCCTCCAATATGTCTTTGTTCACTCATGTGGTCCACTCGTCAAATAATCCTGTCGCCCCGATAATTCGGGGTGGTGGCGGGATTTTAACTGGGGCCCAGGTGATGCCGTTTGGCTCACCTCTGAGTTGACACCGGCATTTTTGGTTGGTCCCTTTCGTCGTGAACTCAACTGTCTCGCATCCTTTCTCTCGTCCAGATATCGGATGAGGGGGGTGTGTTTTGTTCACGTGTTGTTTCATCATGTGGCAAAACGGCCGAATGGCCGTTTGGCTCAAGTTTTGCCCTCCCGTCAGGGGGGTCACGGAATCTCGTTGCGCCAGCCATAGTGCGGCTGACCGCTACGCCGTCGGGAAAAGGGTCCTGGCGTCGCTGTGGTTAGGCACTGGGAGGTGGGCGGAGGTTCTCTGCGTGATCATCCTGGGCTTGGACACAAACTTCTCTTCTTCAACCTATTTCCTAATCTCCCCAAACTTGATCTTCATTAACTGTCACTCCCACAATCTGGTCACCGGCACCTTCTACATTGTGCTTTGGGACTGGGTTCTTTTGGTACTTCGTGAACCACGTGTACCTCTTTGATTCCCTGGGCTACTTCGTGTTCGCCCAAAACCGCACATTTCGAACAAACTCCATTCCCCCGACCAAATGACAGACACACACTTCTGGCGCCGGGTTTCCTGCCCAAGTCGGGTTTCTCGTCCTGAGGCTGCGGGCAAGACGCAGACCGCCGCTTGGGTTGAAAGGGACTGGGGACCCGAAGGCTGCCTTGGATTTGGTGGGACACCGGAGGGCGATTCAGGATTTGTGCGAGGTAGCCCATTTGCGGGTCGAGCACCCGTGGGTTTTGCGGCTGTGTTCGTAAGGATGGCATTTGGGCAATGCTCAAAGGCTCAAGTCGGCCCAAGCACCAGGGTAGAGATTTGTTGGTCTGGTGGTGGCCAACTTTTCCCCCCTGCCGGCGTCTCGGGAACAACCTCATCTCAGACAGTTTGCTGGCTTACAATGCTTGCGTAGTGGCTTAGTATGAACTTAGGGCTCGTTGGGCATGGAGTGCAAGCGTTTTTCTTTATTTTCGACTCTTAAACATGTGTTATTCCTTCAGGGACGCCCCAGTACCCCTTGGACATTTGTTTGGGTGGCTGTTGCTGTCCACAATTTCATTTACTTTTTTTCAGGGTGCCCTGGAACCGTTTTGGTTTGTGGGGGCACTCTGTTTTCCCCTTCCTCCAAGGGCAGCCATAGAGTGCTCCGAAGAAACCAACCGCCTTTGATACATCTCCCCTTTTCTCAGATCGGGGAAAAGCGTTTGGAGAACTAGTTGACTAGTCATTGGTTGATCATTCCCCTAGCTTTTCGGGGAACGCTTTGATTCCTGCCGTTGCAGTCGATTCAGTCGACTTTGCGCTTTCTATGGAACAGCACCTCTAAATGCACCTCTTTTCCATGAGCAAAATATCCCTTTTTGGGAAAGGCCATTATAAGTGTGCCTTTTGGTGGTGATGTCTCGGTGGGTGAAGCCATGTGTCTCAAAATTAGGGACCCCTCTTCTCCCAACAAAGGGACCCCTTTGCAAACCACTGAAGTCAACCTTCAAACCAACCTACCAACCACCAACTTCCCAACCACCAACCAACCTAGCACCAACCTACCAAACCAACCTACTACCAGCCTACCAAACCAACCAACCTGGCCCCAACCAACCCAGCACCCACCTACCAAACCAACCCACACCAACCTACAAAACCAGCCTACCAAGCCAACTAACCTAGCACCAACCAACCTAGCACCAACCAACCTAGCATCAATCTACCAAACCGACCTACCAAACCAACCTACCAAACCAACCTACCAAATCACTCTACCTACCACCCAACCTACCAAACCAACCTACCAAACCACTCTACCAAACCACTCTACCTACCACCCAACCTACCAAACTAACTACCAAACCAACCTACAAAACCACTCTACCTACCACCCAACCTACCAAACCAACCTACCAAACCACTCTACCAAACCACTCTACCTACCTCCCAACCTACCAAACCAACCTACCAAGCCAACCTACCAAACCACTCTACGAAACCACTCTACCTACCACCCAACCTACCAAACCAACCTACCAAACCACTCTACCAAACCACTCTACCTACCACCCAACCTACCAAACCAACCTACCAAACCAACCTACCAAACCAACCTACCAAACCACTGTACGAAACCACTCTACCTACCACCAACCTACCAAACCAACCTACCAAACCAACCTACCAAACCAACCTACCAAGCCAACCTACCAAACCACTCTACGAAACCACTCTACCTACCACCAACCTACCAAACCAACCTACCAAACCAACCTACCAAACCACTCTACCTACCACCCAACCTACCAAACCAACCTACCAAACCAACCTACCAAACACCAAACCAACCTACCAAACCAACCTACCAAACTACTCTACCTACCACCCAACCTACCAAACCAGGCTACCAAGCCAGCCTACCAAACCAACCTACCACCAACCACTAACCTGGCACCAACCACTAACCTGCCACAAACCTACCACCCGACGCCCCAAGCCACCGACCAAGCCACCAGCCAGCCGCTGCGCTCCGTTTGAGAAGCGTCAGGCGCAGGCGGTGGAGAATGCCAAGGCCAAGGTGTCCAAGGCTCAGCTGAAGGCTAAGGAGGCCCGGAGGAGTTGAAACTGAACCTCTTGTGTCTTTTTTTTCTGGTTTGGGAGGGGAGGGGGGGGGGGATTTTTTTGGTCGTGGTTTGTTTGTGCTTTTTGGGGGTGGGGTGGGGGGGGTCGATTGTTGGTTTTTGTTTTTTGTGGTTTTGCTTTTTCGGGTTTGGGGGGGAGGCGCAAAAAATGGCATCGCAACAAAGCACCTTAAAGCACCTACCGAGTTTCTCTTTCGCCCTTGATTTTGAAGGGGAAGGGCTCGCTAGTCAGAGCTTTGTTTTGTTTTCTTCCCGCCCATTTGACCAGACTGAACTAACCTGTCTGCTTTGGGACCACAACAGAAGTCTTGTTGCAGGAGGCCTCAGTCCGGCCGACTGTTTGGTGTGGACAAATCAGCAAATTGTCAAGCTCAATGTGTCATAGTATATTGCATATTGTATATATATACACACACATTTTGAATATTGTATATTCTATATTGTATGTGTATGGGAGTGCGGAATGGGGAAGACAGGCCGTAGACCCCTTACCTTTTCGGCATTGGACGGGTCTCAGGGTAGCGCAGGTGCGGGAAGCTAAGTGTGAGGTGTCCTTGAGTCGATTGCGCTGCCAGGCATATGGGTCAAAATTAAAATACTCGGGAGCCGCAGGTTTTAGTTGACTAAAACCTGGTTCCGTTCAGGGCTCGATGTGCATTCATGTGATTGCTTCACGGAAGCAGACCCCAGTGCAAGCATACCACGAGCCGTGTTAGACAGCATTTGCGCCGCGTGTTTGTGGCAGGGGACTGTTTATTGGCCGCATCTGACATTGGTGTGATAGGAATTTGGACCCCAGAAACTGGCGGTTGAAGTTTGGTTTTCCTTTAAGCCAACCTGAAAAGGGACGCGCACCTCAAATAGTGAGCTTCGTATGTCATTTTTGCTACTTGTCTCGTCAAACTAACATGGGACCTGACAGGGCGACTTTTCTGAAAAAGAATGGTTGTGGCGTTCTATGTTTGGAGAGAAAGTCAGTTTTTGCAAAAGGCGACCTTGGAATTTTCATGGCCTTTGCAGTTCAAGCTCAGGATAGAACTGCCGAGCAGCTTTTGCTTTGCCGTTGCTCGGGCTCGCTGTGACAAATGTTCCGTTGGGGGGGTGGGTGGGGAGGAACACGTCACACCCACGTGGAGCCGTTTGCTTCTGTGCACCAAAAAAGCCGCCAGGTTGTTCAGGACAAGCACGTCCAGGCAGGGCTTCTTGTTGTCACAAGCTGGTAGGTCTGCAGTTTCATGGGTTCTTGGCCCTGATTTTCCAGTGTTGTTGCTTTTTGTTGGCCATGTTACTTCTTTTGTGTTTTATGCGATTCATGCGCCATTTGTTTCTTGATCGACCGTTTTTGATGTGGTTGTTATCGATGGTGGAGGCAATGGTTTACAGTCAGTTGCTGACATACCTGGGGGTTTCAGCCAGTTCCATGGGTCGGATGGTCCCAGTGGTGGTGTTGCGTTTGGTATTTTTCCTTTTGGCCCAAGGTGATATCTTCAGGTTCATATGGGGTCAGCTCTTTAACCCAGAGACACCTTTTGGGGGGGTTGACAACCATGGGATTCTTAGGCCCGGGGTTTTCCACCTGAAAACCTCACCTTGGGCCAAAAGGCGCGGTCGTGGCTCAAAATCCAAATCGTACTCCCGGTGAACATCAACCAATCCCCACTTAAAAAAAAGAAGCCGAAAAGGGGTGGTGAATTCACCAATCCCAACCAAAATGGGATCAACCCGAAAAAAAGGGTTCGAACCTGCGTGGTGAATTCACCAATCCCAACATGGTACCAAAACGGTTTTGACCCACAGCCCCCTGGAGATCCACCTGAACTTGGCACGGATCCACCAAAACCCCACCAAAATGGGATCAAACACTTCGTAGACGAAAATCCCAACATGGGCTCCGCCGAAACGGTTTGGACCACCGCCAAGGCCACCGCTGCGGGGGCTGTGGGGGGAGCCGCCACACTGGGTGCCACCGGGGGTGCCACCGGCCTCGCGGCGCCCCGGGCACCGGTTGGGTGGGCTGAGACACACCCACTTTGGCGGCGGCGAATTCGAAAAGCCGGAGTTTTCCAAAATGGGTTGCCCTGGTTTTCGGGGAAGCATGGGCCAACACCTGCGGTTTGCCCTGCCTGGTTAATTCTGAGACACACCCAATTTGGTCCTGGTATGGCTGTGGATCAAGACCGTTTTGGTACTATTCTGGAGTGGGTGAATTCACCACCCATTTTAGAACCTATTTTAGTGGGGATTGGGATGTTCACTGGGGAGACGATTTGGATTTTGACCCATGGCCATATTGACCACCCTTGCAGTTGAGTCAGGATGAAAAACAGGAGTGGCTGTTCTTGGTGTTGGAGTACCTCTTTTTTGGCCAACGGTCGAGCTTTTTTTTGCTGGTTCTCAGAGGCTGCTTTGATAGGCAGGGAATGAGAAATGGCATGACCTTCGAGAAAATCCATGCTCGAGATGGTTTCCTAGGGAATCCCAAAATGGTTCATTCCCAACACCCGGAAGGTCGTTTCGTACTGAGCACCAGCAAAGTTAATAGAGGCATGTGCCCACAGTGAGGGGCCGCCTTTTGGTGGTCTTTCCCCGAAAATCGAAGCTTTGGGGTGGCGGGGGTCTTGTGGTTGGTTCGCATGAAAAGACGTCATGGAAACCACGAAACACCAACACACCCAATGCCAACGTATGGGGCGCCATTTTGGGGATTCCCTTCTAATCTTCAGGGGAGCCTTCTGTTCCCCACTTTGAACTTTTGGGAAGACCGTTGAGCAAATCTGATGACGCTCGGTGTTTGAGTGTGGGAAGTCCCGTTTCCCTGCCATTTCGGGTGTCTTGCCACGGGGGGTTTGGTCGGTCAATTTTTAGCGCTGGTGCCCGACCTTCACTCGGCCGAGCCGAGAAGGCTCGCCCTTTTTGGGTGCGGGATTTTAAGAGAAGCCCTGCCCGAAAAAAGGAAAAGCATGGGCAGCATTGGAGGTCTGGGGGACCTCCTGTAATGCAGCCCATCTTGAGATTGTGTTCATTTGTGCAGAATGTCGTGGTTGTATAGCCTTTACGAGAAGACAGGTTTGCAGGAGGAATCTTGCTTCGAAAGGGCTTTTCGGGCTTGATCCAGCAAGCAGAAACTAGGTGTGCGGCTTCCTCTTGTTTTCGCACGCGTTGAGTGCCATCGAAATGCATCCAAAAGGGGGTTCTTTCCACTGAGCACTATTGGGTTGTTTGGTCCAATTGGATTAAACCCTGCCAACTATGTCGCGACTAAAAGTGAAGCAAATCATACTAGTTTAATCTTTCACAGAGCCGAACTGCAACTATGCATCGTTTTGGCCTGTAAGTTTTAAGTGATCGGATTTTTGAAGTGTTAAGTGGCACCTCAAGCACATGGATGAAAAGCCGAGTTGGTGGAGCAGGTTGGACCAAATTGCCCCTCCCCCCCCCTTGCCAAACAAGGCTCAGAAAGGGTTTGAAACAAAACGACGCAGCCTTCACATCCTGATTGTCTCAAAATGGGATGTAGAACCTCCAAAATGGCAACGGCTTTTTGTGTTTTGCCTTCAACACAGCCCCAACATGGGTAGCCTGAAAAGACAATCACACCCGGCGTATGTATGTATTTTTTAGGGCGCACATCGTTGCCTTCTTTCAATTTTGAGTGTTTCTTGCTACAACTTGTGTTCCTCTCCTTTCTCTGTGCGTTGGCAGGGATGACTTCCAGGGATTCCCTCAAGAATTCAAGGGACACCCGCTGGTGGATGGCTGAAAAGGATGGGCGCGGAATCACGCTTAGAACAATTGGCACCAGGCAACATGTTCCGTTTCTGAATGTGACGGCATACAACATGTTTCTTTGTCTCTCTAAATCTCTTACTCTCCCTCCCCCTTCTCCCCCCTCCCTCCCCTCCCCTCCCCTCCCCTCCCCTCCCCTTTCTTCCCTCCCCTTCCCTTCCCTCCCCTTCCCTTCCCTCCCCTTCCCTCCCCTCCCCTCCCTCCCCTCCCTCCCAGACCTCCGGTGGTTCCCTTTTGTCCTTCGTTTTGGAAGGGGTTCCCTTTATACTCACCTACCAGCCAAAAGGGTGGCCTTTGCCTCATTGAACTCCGGTGGTCTGTGCTTCGTCTTTTGCTGCATCTTTGGGACCCGCACACCCAACCTCTTCTTCGTCAGAGAACCATCAAGCACCTAAAGGAAACCGCTGCTTGGGGTGGGGGCTACAGAGCTCATGGTTTACTCCTATGTTGACTCAACTTGGTTTGAACGTAGCCAGACCATTCCAATTCCTTGGTCCCTTGGTGTCTATATCAAAATTACTTGCTGGTTCTCAGCATGAAAAGATGACTCCTATACACCATTCCCTATTTCCTGAAAGGGATTCCCCTTCCGGTTCACCGACTCGGTCATTCCCTACCCAGCGCATCAGGGTGCCCCTCCAAATCGGTTTTGCTTGCGGTTTCCCTTAACACCCTTCAAAAGGAGGTCCGCCCATTTGGGGGTTGATCAATATTCCGTTTGGCCACTTTTACCATGCGGTTGATGTATCATCTTCGTGGTTTCCCCCAATGGTCATCCCATGTTTACCGGACCTTTTGATCAGCCCCCATGTTTCAGCAATGGGCATCTAAATCTGGGACAGGTTGGCCCAATCTGAAGGCCCTCCAAACACTAGTCCCGTCCATTTGGGTGTGGCTCAAAAAGTGAAGAGCTGGGGCAAACCGCCCGATTTCGGCTTTGGTTCCAGTCAAGGTGCCATTCTGGCACCATGCTTTTTATGAGCCACCGCCATTCAGAGAGATCTGCAGGCCCTCCAAAATTCGGGGAATCCGTCCATTCGGGTGTGGCTCAAAAAGCAAGGAGCTGCGCAAGATTTCGTCTTTCCATTCACCAAGGTGCCAAGACATCTTACAGCTTTTTGAGCCGCCATGAGAGCGAGCGAGCAAAAACGGCGCCCGGCATTTGCATTTCTCTCGGGACCAATGAGGCCGGCGGCGTGGCCGGGGCCGCCCTGGGGGTGATCCCTGCACTCTTCACCTTCGGGCTGTCCATCCCCGTGGGCGCCGCCATTGGCGGCACCGCAGGCGGAGCTTCCGGAGAGACCTCGGGCGGTTTCGGTTCGGCGGGGGTTCAGGATCTCGTTTCGGCGCTCGAAACGATTCCCTGAGCAGGTGGGAAATTTGGGCCAGTGAGCAGATCATCTTTACCAGGATGTAGAGGATTCCCTGGTAAAGAAATTGGTTTTTGATGTATCCTTTCAGGGCATCATGAAGGACACTCGTTTCGCTGAGGAGTTGTCAAGCCTGGGAAGGGAGCGCTTTGGCTCACTTCCACCGTTGGACTTAACGTGTGGGGAAGATCATTTTGCTTGTAAGCTTCGGACCAACCCACTCAACCACAAAGACGCAGAGACTGGGAAGGCGTAGGGGATGGGGGACTTACCAGCCAGAACATGAATCCGCAACCACCCGCTGTTTTCCCTGGACCCCGCTTCTTGGTATGTCAGCGTTGCTCCTTTGGCCAAGGATGGGGCACATTTGGTTCACGTCTGGTGGTTTCCCTTTTCGGAGAGCAATCCTCTGCCCTTCCGGCGATTGTGGAGCAACACTGTATGTGGATTAGCTTCTTGTTTTGCTTTGGAGGTGCTGCTCCTTTCTGTTTGTGTTGTTGTTTGCTTCTGGCGAATGTGGGTTGGCATTGTCAGTTGTTTGGGTAGAAGATGTTGGGTGCTGTCAAGAGAAAGCACAGGGCACATGTTCTTGTGCTTTGGTCCTGCTCGATGTTGCTTGCTTTGGCAAGGCTATTGTTGGAAGCCAGAAATGAAGCCACCTTTCATCTGGATAACCTATTTGAAGAATCGCCTGCTCTCCGTTCTTGGTATGTGCTTTTTTGTGTTTGCTGTTTATACGAGGAACCCGCAACATTCCCACGGAAACCAGGAGACTCACAGCATATCTGATGTTCATTACGTGGGCCGCATATGTTGCCCGTGGCTCATATGGATGCATGCATACAGCATGCATGCATACAAGCATGCATCCATGAATACATTACCTTGCACTACGTTACGCTGCATTAGATTACACTACACTACATGGCATGAGATTACATGACATTGCACACCATAGCATGACATCAACATTGCATGGCAATGCATTACATTAGGATACGTTGCGTTGCATTACGTGACATTACAGCTACATTGCATTGCGTTTAATTTGCATTGCATTGCATTGCAATGCATTGCACCGCATTACATTACATTGCGTTTCGTTACACTAGATTACATTATACTGCAATACATTGCAATACATTGCAATACATTGCAATACATTGCAATACATTGCAATAGATTGCAATACATTACAATACTTTGCATTCCATTGCATTATATTCTATTACATTGCATTACATTGCATTACACTGCATTACATTCCATTACATTGCATTACATTGCATTACATGGAATGGAAAGTGCGTTACATTGCGTTACATTGTGTTACATTGCGTTACATCGCGTTACATTGCGTTACATTGCATTACATTCTACTCTACACACATTGCACACATGAGATGCATTGCACACATTACATGCATCGCATACATTGCATACATTGCATACTTTACATACATTACATGCATACATACGTACATGATTTACATTACAACCTTGACTGACAACACACACACAGACACAAACATTACATACATGACATACAACATACATGACGCACACTAGATGCATTCATTACTTTCATTACATGCATTAAATTCAGCACATATACGAAATACAGTACATACATCACATGGGCATGGGTCAAAATTAAACCACCAGGGAACCGCAGGTTTTAGTCCCTGGTTCCATTTACCAGGGTTTCATTTCGGTACCTATTTTTGACCCACAGCCACATGTAGTGTACATCACACGCATCACATGCATAACATGTATTTCACATTGCATTCCTGGCTTGCATGACATACATGGCATTCATGACATACATCACATATGACGTACACCACACACAAACACACATCATGCACATATCATGCACATCACATACATTGCACATGCACTACATACACTACGTAAACATACACACACACACATACATACATACATACATACATACATACATACATACATACATACATACATACATACATACATACATACATACATACATACATACATACATACATACATACATACATACATACATACATACACACAGACAGACAGACACACACACACACACATACATACATGCATGCATGCATACATACATGCATGCATGCATGCATACATACATACATACATTCATGCATGCATGCATGCATGCATGCATACAGTGAGAGGCAGGCAGTCAGACATTCAGTAAGGCATGACAGACATACAGGCATACAGACATACCAGCGCACAGACATGCAGACATACAGACATACGGACATACAATCTGCGACATGCAGACTTGCAGACATACAGGTATACAGGCTGCAGACATACAGACTTACCGACGTATAGACATACTGACATCCATCCATTCATCAATCCATCCATCCATCCATCCATCCATCCATCCATCCATCCATCCATCCGTTCGTTCGTGCGTGCGAGCGTGCGTGCGTGCGTGCGTGCGTGCGTGCGTGCGTGCGTGCGTGCACAGCTAAGCACACAGAAACAACACATGGGTATAAACATATATACATACACATGTGCAGTATGCTTCTCTATGTGCACAAGAAAAAGCCGGTGTTTCCCATTTTGATCACTTGGGTGCACGGCCCGGGGGTTGGGGGACCTCCTTTTCGCCGCCTCGCCGGCGCTAGGCCTTGCGGTGGGCGCCTCTGTTGGCGCGGCCGCGGGCGCGGCGTCCGGGGGCGCGGCGGGGTTCCAGGCCTACGCCAAGCGCGAGCAGTGCCCCGGAGGATTTGAAGCTATGTGGCTGTGGTGGTCAAAACCATTTTGGTTGATCCCATGGGATTGGTGAATTCAGCACCCATTTTAGGCTTCCCATTTTAGTGGGGATTGGGATGTTCACTGGAGGTACGGGCTTTTGACCCATGGCCATGTGGCTGGTCAAAAATAGGCTAACCCCAACATGGTTTGCCCTGGTAAGTGCAATGGACTAACATCTGCGGTCCATATCCTGGTGATTTGATATTGACCCACACCCGTGTTCCTGCCTTGTTTTGGAAGGGATTGTTTCCTCCAGTTTTTGACGGTAGTGTTCTGTGCGATATGGTATTTCCTGCTTTGTTTTTGAAGGGAGTTCCCTGTTTCACAGAAGTTTCCTCCACTTTTTGACGGTTTTCTCAGGAGTTCCCTTGTTGAGTTTCTCCACTTGTTGGGAGTTTCCTCCAGGCCTGACCCCTTTTTGGTTTGGAGTTTCCTCCAGGCCTGACGGTTTCGGGTAGAGGGAACGCTGCGAAACCCATACGGGGCATTAGTTATAAGGCATTAGTTAGAGGGCTAGTTAAATAGAGGTTTCATGGCTAGTGAAAGGGCTTCCCACAGATGTTTGGGCACTTCACCCCTTGGATCTGGGAAATTACAGCAGGGCTTCATGACTTGGGATTCCTTTGTTCAGGTGATGCTCCCGGATACGATGGACCTAAGACCACGCCGCTGTTCCCAACGCCGAAACAACATGTATTTGAGACAAGCGAATTGGTTTGTTAAAACCACACCTTTCGCGGCGCCGAAGCTGATTTGAGAGAAGCGAATTGGTTTGTTACAACCACACCTTTCGCGGATCGGATTTTTTCGCTCGCGCCGAGGATCGGTGAGTTCCGCCAGAGCACCTTGAACAAGGCGCGAACCGCCCAGGAGATTCGATGCGAAGGAGGTGGCGAGGGGATGCCTTGCTGCCTCGGCTCGAAACATCTTGAGCTTCTGTCTTTAGTGATTTTTTTGGTTCGCCCAGTCGGCTTACTTGGAGTATGATCATTTTTTGCAAAGATCATTGCTTATTTTCTCTAGTGTCGCCCAACAAATCCCAGTGGGGCACTTTGAGAAAGGGTGAGGTTGAGCAGCGTCAATGGAAGCCGCGCCCGGCCATTTGTGCCAACCGAGCCACCCTTCACTCAAAGGGATGGACATGAACCCCTTAAAAGAGAATTGAGCCACCGTGTCAAGGAGTTTTCAAAAGGGAAGCCCGACCACGACCCACTTTTTCGTCCAGTTTTGACAACGGCCCATTTTCAGGAGAGACATCAGGGCCCACCCTGGCCCCCAAGAAAGCTTTGATGCGAACCCATCAAAAGCTCGCCACTTTCAGTCCCACCGCCAGTTTTGGGCCCAAAAACCTGACTTGGGGTTGGAAAGCCAAAAGGATACCAAAGGCCAGGAGGTTTTGCTCTTTGAACTCTTAGGCTAAGATCTCCGAAGGGGTCGTGTTTTCCCTTGCTTTACCTTCAACACCCATTCCCAACAAGGGCTTTTGAGCGACACTCAACCAGCACGCTAGGGTTGCTTTTCCCATCTCCTCGCGTGGGATTTTGCATTTCGAACAGATGCATACCTGCTGCTAACCAGCCCTTGGCCCCATTTTTTTCTCGAAACCCCCGTGGGACCACATGTTTGTTTTCTTCTTCCTCTTTTTTATTCTTCTTCTTTTTTTCTTTCTCTTTTTTTTGTTTTGTTTTTTCATTTTTTCTTCCGCAGGTAAGGTAGGTCCTAGCGGTGGGGTTCCCCCCCTCCCGACGCGTCCAGGTGAACACCGGCGTGGATGCGGTCAAGGGCAAGGCCGTGGCCTCCGCGTGCCTTGCCGTTGAAGGTCCACGGGGCTCGCTCAAAACGGGGGGGGGGGGGCGTTTTTCTCGCATGGCCACGGGTCCGGGGATTTCTATGTTGGTTGCTTGAAGATGGAACCACTGGGTTTGTCTCAAAATGAGATATGGGACCCCAAAATCGGTGGTCATCCTTTTGGTTTCCTCTTTGAACAACCCTCAAAGGGGCACAATCGGAAAAAGAGACCCGCACGCCCTGTTTGAGGGAACGGTTCCACTCGTTTAACCTGGCGGTTCAATCAACTGATCGCTGTTGCAATCTCTTCAAGTCAGTTTTGTTTGACCTCATAGCATCCGTCGAGAATTCCCCTTGCCCCTGCATTAAAGCAGTAGGCCACTTGCACTGTAGTAAGTTTTGTTTCATGGGGCACCCTGAGGGATTGTGGGCAGAGTTCACACCGCAAGCCATGCATCCGAGAATTCTATACCTCAAGCAGCCCTTCCATGACTGGGCCCAGCGGGCGACCGACCATTCAACCTTTGTTACGCCCAACGTCAGCGCTGTTTAGGAGGTATGTGGCTATGGTTGATGTACCCAGAAAATAAGTCTTTAAGGGGATACCTAGCTTTTATATAAACGGTGAACTGCTATGATGTTGAATTGGGGAACACTGTCCCACGAATTTCTGACTTCCGCCAAGGGTCCATGTCACGTGGAAGCTCGTACCCATCTGCGCAACATATTCCCAGGGCATAGGTTTTGGGTGGGCACAACAAGCCATGTGTTTTGTATTATTTTTCTGCAGGATGGTGCGTGTCGGTTTTTGGTAGGTCGCCAGTTATTGTCGGTTACTCATGGGTATGGACTTTGATAGAACATGAATTCTTTGCTGGACATCAGAGGATGCCGACTCATGTTGACCCCGGACAAAGAAGGTGTTCCCTGCAAAAGTGATGAATCCCCACTCAAATTTCTGAGCACCCCCTGTTCAAAATCAACGGGTTATTATTAATCCGTGTCCGACATGAAGAATACTTCTGATGCTCAGGAAATGAGAAATGGACAATGACCCTGCTAAACCATCCAACTGGTGTCCTTTGAAGGGGACCCGAACCAAAGTCTGGGCTCATTCAACCACATTCCCTATCAGCAAGAATCTTTGGCCGTTCAAGTTGTGTCCCCTCCGAGACCCTTATAAACCATCCAACTGGTGGTTTCCTTTAAGGGGACCAAAGCCTGGCTTCACTAAGGCAGTTCCTCAAGGACAAGGCCTCCGCGGCGCGTGTGCGGCTCTCCGGAAAGGCGGCCAAGGCAGCATAAGGCGAGCGGAAGTTCTGGGAGTGTTGATGATTCACTCAACTGGGTGTGGCTCAGAATTAAACAGGAGGGGTTACGCAGGTGTTGGTCCATGTGTCCACTTCCCAGGGTTCCATTTTGGTACCGGTTTTTTGAGCCACAGCCAACTGAGACGTGGTGATGCCTTGATTTCTCGACTGGATCGCTGTGCAGTTGAACACTTTAAATGGGCCAGTGGTGTTTGGATCCGGCACCAAGGATGCCAGCGGAGCTTCCTTGGTGTTTGCTTCTATTTGGTCGCCTGAGGTGTGTGGTCACGGTTTTTGGAAAGTCCATGGTGGATTTGACTCACTAAGACTCACTAAGCTTCCGCCGAGGCGCGGGATCTCTTGAGTCTTCCTACTCCAAGCACTCCATATCCCGTCCAATGACGACTGCCGCACACTCCAATTAAAAACGCCGGCGCTGGACAAAAAACGCTCTTTTTTGAATCCCCCGAAAGCAGTTGGAAGCCTTTAGGGACAAGGTGACTCAGGCAGGGCGTTCACCAGGCATCTCCACAACCATGCACCTCTCGTTTGGGTGATCCAACGTCAGGCAAGAGGCAGGATGAGGTCTTGACGGTCTTCGCGTGGCATGAGGCCACGGGCGTTTTCCTCAGTTTGCTGCAGGGAAGGGGCGGGCCCTTATTGTGCCGGCAAGATGTGGCTCCTTGGGGGGCCACATGTGTGTTCGGGCCGGTTGTGTTGGGGCTACAGGGCTCCCAAGTTGTTTCAAGGTGTTTGGGTCCCAGGCCTTCCCTGGCGCAATTTCCAGAACCCATATTTTCCATGGCACGCTCGTCGCCTTGGACTCCTCGGGGTAGGCTAGGGCCGCCTTGTTGGAGACTGGCGGCTCCAATTCGTAGCGAAGCTGGGCTCTGGGCAATCTGCAGGCCAGCCCAGCGAAAGTTTTCGTCCAGCTTGTCGTCCGTGAACCCGAGCACCGTCCGACGTTGGAATCGCCAGGATTGCGCGAGGTACCGGCCGGAGGCTTTGGCTTGAGGCCAAAGCTAGAAGCGACCAGTTGGGATGTTCTTTTAAACCCTTGTTCCCACGGAGCAACCAAAGCAGGGCCCGTCCAAATTAGGAAATGCCCCTTTCTTGCTTGAAACCGACAGGAAGCCGCGGAGACAAAGCCAGTTGTGTAGTGGTTCCGGGCTTTTGGTATTGTCTTTTGGCGGGTTGCTCTTTGAACCAACAAGGGAACAGGTGTTCTTTTCTGAGGGGTCTCTGTTACCCCAAGCAACCAAAAAGGGATGCCTGGGCAAACAATCAACCAACAATGGGGACCCTGTCAACCCCAAATTCCCCACTCTTGCGGGCGGGTGGATCCCTACACAAGACGTCACGCACAAAGTTGTTTGAAGACCAACGCCTCCGTGCCGGCATGGTTGGGCGGTAGGGCTATGCTGGTTTCGATTTAGCGGAGCACACAGTCGCTCTTTTGCACAGACACATAGCTCTCAGCTGCGAACGCTTGCGAGTGAGCGACCGTGAGCGGCGAGAGACAAAGATTTGCTCTGGCAGAGGATAGGGAGGGTATAGATGGCGCAGAGGGGCGGTCAAGTGTCGGAATCTGGCGACACTTCTTCAAATGGTTGGCATCATGGTTTCTTTCAAGACCGTCCCAGAAAGCCCCTTTTGCGTTTCGTTTTGAATTGCCCAGACCAGACTCTTAGTTCTCGCTCCCAATTGCAAATAGCAAGCTGGTTCTGTTGTTTAGTGGGGCCAACAGTGAATTGTTTGCTGCCCAACAGTGAATTGTTTGCTGCCCAACAGTGAATTGTTTGCTGCAACATGGGTGGCTCGTCTTTAAGGTTGGACCCCCGGAACGGCGAAACGGTTGTGCTTTTGGGTTCCCCTCAGAGACCAACTCCAAAAACGAGAGAGACCCACATATGGCTGTGGGTCCAAAATAGGTACTCCAAGTGGAATCATAGTACGTGGAAACATGGACCAAAACCTGCGGTCCCCCTGGTGGTTTAATTTTGACCCATACCCATTTCGAGACACAGCGGAATTCGGAACCTGCCAGCCGTGCCGTTTGAAGGTCATCCTTATCAGGAGAGCAGACCCATAGGAGAGGCTGCGTTCAGTCAGTGCGACGCCTCGAGGTCCACACGCCGGGGCTGGTGGTGCCGCGCATGTCCATGTGCAAGGCGGGGCCCGGTCTCGGTGAGAAAAAAGTCGAACACAGAAAGGCCGAAACATTTTTTCAGGCTTGGGCTGAACAGTGATGGGATTCATTTTCTGGCCTTTTCAGGACTCGCGATACAAACCGATCACAGATTTGAGCGGAAAGACACCCTGTCCAGTGCGCCGTTTTGTGTCCCTCGAGCATAGAAAGGTGCTTTTTCGAGTCATCCAGACTCGCTTGTCAGTTGCCACAAATCAGCAACCAGCAGCCCGACTCAATGCAACGTGATTGTGACTCACAAGACAAAACATGCTTTTGGCAGGGTACCTTGGGACGCGCCCAGTTTGGTCGGACTTAGCAGGAAGCCAAAAAGTAAGCCAAAGGGACAGCCCGCGAAAGGGTCATAGCTTAATTGGAACTCGTGAACATGCGCGATGTCAAGTTTGGGTATGCTGTTTGGAGACAAACCACACGGAGCCTGAAAAAACATGGGGTCGGTTGTAGACATCTTGAGAAGCATCGAGTTGCATCGATCTGCGCAACCGAACATGGTTCTTGATACTTCTCCAAAAATGGCATTCATCCGAACAAAGGAACTCGCTTTTAAAGGACGTTCATTTGCGTGTGGAGCAAAAATCGGTACCCTGGTAAATGGAAACATGGACTAGAACCAGAGGTCGATATCCTGGTGGTTTAATTTTGACCCATCCCCATTTCGAGACACAGCGGAGTTCGGAACCTGCCAGCCGTGCCGTTTGAAGGTCATTCTTTGAAATGGGCGGTGGAAACCCGATTTGGGGGGATAGACATCATATGTTCAGACGCACAATTGGAAGATTCTGGAGAATCCCACCATTTAAGAAGTGTCGGGCTCGGTCCAACCGACTGAGTACGAGAACATGATTGTCTGAGTTGAACGCTGGTTCTATGCAGGGGACCAAACAGGTTCCAGCAACTCCGATCGCTTGTTGCACAGGAGACTGCGGCAGTGCATTTTTTCCGCGCTTCTTTTTGGCCTATGTAAATTGTGTGTTTTTCTGTTGTTTGGAGGCATGTGTGCCAATGTGTGTCGTCTCTGCTTATCCTAATGCATTTCCGTGTTTTCAAGAAGCAAACAACGTCTTGAGAAAACCAACCATCAAAAGAACCAAGCGAACCATTCGCAGATTTGCGGACAGTCTTTCCATTGGATCAACCCATCCCAAAACCAAGAAACAACGAGAAAGCCAACAAAACAACTTCATCAAAACACAAACAATCAATCGGCAGACACTCTTTCTAGAAAGGCACAAGCACAATGCTCATACACTCTTTCTAGAAGTAGCCTGTCACCATGCCAAGAGTTCTAGGAGAATGTTCTTTTGTTTGGACGGGGGGTTTCTCAAGTTTTCTTTTGTTTTGTTGTTTGTCAGGTCTGATCCAGTGGATGTGTTTTTATGGAAAGAACTCCCTACCTATGAGCTAGTTTAAAATGACATCTCGAGTTGAACTCTGCTTGAATAAATTGTTTAGAATACTAGTGATGTGTAAACAAATTCGACTGGAACGGACATCCTGTGTGAAGCCCAATTTGGCATGGACCAATTCTTATTTAAAGTCTCTCTTAAACTCGAAATTCTGATTGGATTCTTTCCTTATCAAATTCTGTTTGAACTCGAATTGAATTGTAAAGTTCTATTCGGCAAGGAACTCAACGTAAATTCCAAATTTGAGATAGAATGTCCAATAGGTTTCGGAATAAGTATTTCCCTATGGAGTCCTATTTAATTTTCAGTCAAAAACTAATTGACTCTTAGGGAGAGGCCTTTGGTGAAGATGTGAATTTAGTGCACAAACCGCTACAAAGCACTTTTTTCTTTTTCTGTTTTTTCCCGGTGTTTGTTGACCAGGGTAGTGATGGGGGCTAGGTAGAAAGAAAAAACACACGCTCTTGGGACCTCTGAATTCTTTCCTAATGAAATTCTACTTAATGAATTCCCCAACAGCTGGAAGCTTTGGGGTCTCAGCCCAGATAGGCTCCGGGGTGGTCCGGGGCGGCCCTGCGAGGTAGGGTTCCACCAGCGTTCCACGAGGGTTCCACGATGTTCTGCGAGGGCTGCGGTGTGAGCATTAAAAAGAGCGCATGCTGTTGGGGATATCAACTGAGCTTATTTCTATTCAACTTTGGACGGAGATATCACTTAATACGGACACATTGATTTTAAACATAGCAAATCCAATCAGGATTTCTATTTACATCAGAATTCAATTAATACGTATTCTTTGTCAAATTAATCATTCCACAGGAACTCATGTCCAATATACTCTTCTTTACAACTCAGCCAACATTTAAACACCCGTTATTCAGCAAGAGCTCCACAAAAAGCAAAGCGAGTGCACGCAGCGCAGCAAATACAGACTTGCATGCACAAGCTGCTCAACCTGTAGCAAGATGTGCACTGCCACAGTCCCCTGCCCTCCCTTTTTGGATGGGTTCCCCTGCCCAATCAAGCAACAACTTGCTGGTGCAAAAATGGTAGGGAGTGACCGTTTCGGGTGTGGGGAATGAATCGGAAGGAGATTCCCGAGTACCGGAAACCAAAGGACACGGAGGGTTTTAGTTTATCCGCGTTCCCTGCGAATCGAAGCAACCTAGGGATTCCCGAACAAGGGACACCAACTCGGTTGGATGGTTTTTCCGGGCTCATTTCCCATACCCCGCCCTCCCCCCAACCAAACACGCAACAACAAGAGCGGTTTCCTTAAAGGCAACCATAGGTTTTCTGGGGTTTTCTGGGGGTGATTTTCCCTGCCAGAGGACCAGCAACAAGAGGGGGAGGGGGGGCAGCGCCTCATTCTGCGAGCGCCGCATTGTGCCCACCGAAAAAGAGCCGGCTCTTTGAGCCCGCGAGGAGCTGGTGGAGCTGCTGTCGGACTGGTCCCAGCGCCTGATCCGCCTGCCCCAGGCGGCCGACATCGAGGCATGGATGGTGGGGATGTCTCAGGTGCTAAATGACCCAAATCAGTTCTCCCAAAAGGAAAGGAAAGGGGATGGGGAATGGCGATTCTCTTCCAGATTCCTTATTTAACAGTTTGGGGAAGGCCGATCCATCGTGAGAAGGGATTGAGGGGAAGAGGCTGACAAGGGGTATGGGTATGCTAAGTGATTGTTACTCACTATTGAGCAATGCTATTCAGGTGGGAGGCCGTATCTTATTTGCTGAGGTTGGGAACAACCTGGCGCTGTGCTTACTATTACTATGTTTCTTTGTTTTCTTCTTCTTTTTTCTGGAGCTAAAGGACACCCTGTTTCATCCAAAGGCAACTCCAGCCCAGCAAAGTTGCGGAGCTCGGCTTGGACCACTCCAACTAAGTATTAAGACTCCCTGCCAAGTTCAAGCTCCCCAAAAGCGGCATGGTAGCATGAGGGGTGGTTCTTTCTGCGAATAAAGATGCAGTCTTGAGCGACCGCGCCGAGGCCACAGGGCCTTTGGTGGTTTGTTTGGAGGTCCCAGACATGGTTGGGCGAATCATCCTTCACCTAGATTGACCTTGCTACAATCAGGCTGAAGGGTTGTGTTAAAGAGAAGCTAGGCTGCCTTCTTTTACTGGAGTGGATCAGGCGGGACTTGAAGCTCTCGCTTGGAAAAGAGGTGGCAGAAGGCGGAACGAAGGATCTCGATTCAGGAAAAAGAAGAAGCATCTCAAGGTCAACGTCAGTCAATGTCTATGTGCTCTTCCTGGGATATTTTTCCATGCCTCTGGGGTCACCAGGCGCTGTTTGTCCGGGGTAAGTGGAATTTGATTGGCGGAAGCGACTCCGGCCACCATGTTTCGGAAACCACAGACACCAGCCTGCTTGAGGGTGCCAACTTCCTGCCTTTGGGCACGCCGCACAATTCCGATCGGGGGTTGCTGGGGGTCGGGTGGGGGCAAACAGATGCCCTTAGTATGCCCCTTGCATACCCAACAACAAAGGGACAGAAGGGGGAATAAAAGGTTGGAGAAAGCAATGCGTTCGGGGGGACGAGCGGGGGGGGGGGGGTCGGGTGAAGGGGGGTAGGACCCGAGATTTTGATGGCCGCGCTGCCAGGAGGGGTATAGTCATGGGTAGGTAAGGACCCGAGAGAAATTCGTGCGAGGTCCCCGCCTTCAAGTCCGATGTGGAGGCGGGTTCATGACCGATGTCACCAAGCTCAGAAGTTCAGGTGACCCTTCGTTGGTGGTTTGAATTGGTGGTTTGGGCATTTGAACCCCTGGTTCTTGTAGAGGGTAGATGGGAGACCCTAGATGGGAGACCCCCCCCAATCCAAACCGCCAAGGAGAGGGAAGATGAGACGTGGCTGGCAACCTAGTTCTTGGAAGAAGATTGCAATGAGCCAGTCATTCTGGCAAAGCGGGGACAAGAATAGTTGTGTCCAAACAGGCGGCAGGAGTGCGTTGTGAAAGGTTTGTACATGCCATTGTCCATTGGGGGATTGTTTTGGGAGCGGCAGCTCGCTTGGAGGTCGTCATGCTGGTTCCCCCGAAAGATGTTTCTGGTTTGCCACAGCCCGTTGCGACCCTGTTTCGTTTTTGCAAAGTGATCGCTGTCCGCGCTGGCCGGCCACCTGTCTCGTTCAGACGGGCGTCGGCATCCGCTTCGAGGCATAGCAAGCACCTTCCAAAGTCTTCGGCAAAAAACGGAGGACCGTGTCAGAGTCTTCAGAGCTGACACGCACACCAGAGCGACACCATTGAAGATCAATTTCAACGCTCCCGGGTTGGGAAATGGTTCCAATCCAAGCAACGGCCTTTTCCTCCGACCCGAGGTTCGGTCAGAGCAGGCTAGGGGTCCAACCAGATGCTAGATGTTTCTTTGGTGGCTTGAGCACCGCCTTTGTTCCTTTTGGCGTGGGGTCTGCAGATTTGAGCCGTCGCTCTGGCGCAGATAGCGCGCATCGCCGCATCTGACAAACTGTCTGATCGTCCATCCCTCGCAGAAGGCAAAACAAACAATCGGCATCGCCCTCCTCTTGCAGTCCTAGCGCAGTCGCTTTAAGCACAGGATGCTGGACTGCCCAGTCCTGAGTACTCTTCAGGAACTGCTTCTTCACGCACGGACTTGGCCGAAAAGTGACTCGCAGACATTGCGCTGGCCGCAAGAAATCTGCGCGGGCTCCAACAAGAGGAGATTCAGACAAAACCTGGCTCCAGCGCTGGTAAATGCAAGACGCCTTGTCCATTGCAAGCCGTTGGCACTGGTCACGACAACGGTCAATTTGGGAGGGGCATGACCTGGAGCTTGCACTTTTTAAGCCCGCATTACTGCAATATTGAAGCCCGCTGAAAGGCCCCTGAATTTGAGTCAAGCCCCTTGCCGGTGTCCGACGTTGTAGCGGCAACTCCAGCTCGCGTACCGTGCAACTTGGTTGCCGCGGCTGGAACAATCTGGGCTTCAAGACGCATTCGACGGGTCATTGACTCTTGCTTCAAGCGAAGCGCGTTGCCACTGCATCGGCAAAAGAAAGACCAAGTCCTCTCTCTCGGAATCTCCGTTTGGGGTTTTTGCATACAGCGCGCGGGTGTAAAGCGCGCCGGCCCCCGAATCGCGGTTTGGCGCCAGAAGCCTGGAGACAGCTCGTCCGCGCCTCGACGCTCTATTTGGCAGATGCTTGCCAAGGTTTGAGTTGCTTCAACTTTCCGACTTTGCGTAGACACCCTTTGACGACCTGTGTGGTGCCCGGGCGCGCCTTGCTCAGAGCACGCCGCCGAAGTATTCCTCACACGGCAGGGAGCAGGTGCAGTCCGGGTGCGATCTTGCCCGAAGCCAAGGTGCGGGCTCTCTGCTCCTTGACGCCGCATCTTCCAGATTGGTTCCTTGCTCTGGTTCTCGATCTCAACAACATTTTTGGACTTGCTCCGAACATTTGCCTTGGAAGCTTTTGGGGAGCATTGGATAGGCCCCTCCCCTGCAAATGAGCATGGACTAGGTCCCCCAGTAGTGCCCTTTTACCCTTTTTGGGGGAGGGTTCCCCTACTACAATAGACTACAGAAAAAATCGGGTACCCTTGTTCTAACCTCTCAAATCTGTTAGCTTCGGTATGCTCTGGGGGCCCTTACTCGTCAGACGCTAACCGCTTCACAGGGTGTGGAGCCTGTGGCCGCAGCACTGGAGACGGCGCACCGCGCGGTGTATCGCTGCCGCAGCCTAGGCGCGGCTGGGTCGGGGCGAAAAAGCGTTGCCGGACGGGACGGGCGGCCCCGGAAACGGAGAAGCCCGAGAAAAATGGAAAGAGGAGAAACCCGGAGAAACCCGAAAAAAAAGTTGCGACCCTTGTGAATGGAAAGAGGTAGGACCCTGTGAAGGAAAGAGGGGAAGAATCCCCCTTTGCTTAGAACTCTAGCTTGTAGGTTGTTGTGGGTCACGTGAATTGACTGATTACTGCGCATTTGGATAGTGACCGATCACTGCGCATCTAAGTGGAGATATAGTTATTTGCGTGTAGCTTTTGTACTCCAAAGTTGCCTTGTTCGGGAAGCAACTGGCGGAGCGTCCTTTGCACCTTGCTTTTGCACTGACATGTTGTGTTTTGCGAGCCAGATCAGCGCGGGGGCGCACTTCGAGCAATACTTGTTGAATAAACTTCGAGAGGTACTTCCATTTTGTACGTATTGCGAGTGCTAGTTTGCAGTTCAAAGTTCCCTATGGAGCTGCAGCTTTCAAACGTTGCGCTTTCCACGTTTCAGCGCGGGAGCGCTCCGTGTGACTACTTTCGTGCTTGAAAGTTGCGTTTTCTGAGCCGCCTTTGGAAAAGTACACTTCGTGCTTTGTGCCGAAAAGCTGCGATGCTCAAGTCGTAGGTGCTGCATTCTCCACTCAGGATCTCCGCGGATGGTTCACTGACACGCGTGATCTCCGCAGAGGGTTCGCCGAGACCAAGACACATGTGCACGGCGGCACAGCAAGAACACTTTGACGCGCACGATCTCCGCACAGGGTTCACCGAGCTCAAGATAATTTGCATAGCAGCGTCATACCACAGGAGAGAAACCACCCTTTCAGCACGTGGACGTACTGGGCCCATTCACCGCGCATATGCCACGCGCGGCCGATCAATCCGGTCTGGCTGTTTCGGGGTTTGGGGCCCCCATCCAAGCACGTGGTTTCACATGACTATTCAGGCCATTTAAAATGAGTTTCCTTTAGGCGGGGGTGATGTTGAAAGGGGACTCTCCAAAGCGAACTTCTGTTTTCGGTGGTGCATCTTTTTTTAAGGGTGCCTAGTTGTGACTTTTTGCGGCACATGCGTATGAATGCGCAGCAGTATTTCCACAAGAAAATGACCGGCCATTGCCAGCCGACGCCACGAAAGCAATTCTGTACAAAACCAATGGCTCATGACTCATGCCAGTACTTCTTTTTGTCACACGAAATGGAGCCCCCTATGGGTTTTCGTCTCGTGTGTTGCCCTTTAAGCGACCCGGACATGTATCCTCGAGAAAGGGCAACCGTGCGCACGCGTGAGCGTTGCTCACAATAGTACCTGGCCTAGATTTGGGGTGGGCCCCCTCTGGTGGGTTTAGAATGATTTAGAGGCCGATCGCAGTCTTGGATAGTCCATCGTTCCCAGTGAGTGGGTTCTGAATTTCTCTCTTTCACTCCCAAGGTTTCCTCCTTGGGTTCTCATAACATGGCCTTGTGTTTTGGGTAGTGTCGACCCCATATTAGTCAACCCCAGTTTATTCATGGGGGAATGTCCCTGGGTATAGTGGTCTGGACTCAGGCCACTTTTGGGGGGCCCCCACCTTCTTTCACTGGGGTTGATCCATTTCTTGGTCAACCTCATTGGATCGAACGATCAAACTGGGAACCCCCCGAGGTCCAACGGTCAATTCACACCCTCAAGCGTCTATAGGTCGGACCCCTGAGGGTACCACTATTTCGGAAATCCCACTTACCCCATCATTATGGTATAACTTAACAACCCCAGAATCCCCCCCCCCCCTCCCTTGATCCAACGACTCAATGGGGGCGTTTTGTTTTGGGTTCGGCGGTTCGGCGCCGCGCCTGCGAAGATCGGCCAGGGGTGGTGTCGGCGGAGGAGCTCGCGAAGCTGAGCCGGCCCGCCATGCCGGGGCGCCTTACATCAGGAAGACCCAAGGGGTCCCAAGGTTTTTTTTTGGGCGAAGACCATGGGTGTGAAGGGTTTTTTTTGGGCGACCATGGGGGTTGACCGTGGGTTAATGAACAGGTCAACTGACAACATGGAATGACCGTTTCTATGTGGAAGACCTGCTAAGATGAGATGTCCCTGGGAAAGGTTCGCCATGCTCATTGGGGCCGAACGGAATATTGACCCACACCCACATGTTGACACACCTGGCAGGCATGTTTCTCAGGCCCAAGCCTTGACGCCTTGACGCCTTGACGCGCTCCGAGCTCCTTGTTGGTTGCTGGCTCTTGTTTGTTGGCTGTTGCTTTTTGGCTGTTGGCCGTTTGTTGTTTTTGTTGGTTGTTGGCTGCTGCTTGTCGGCTTCGGATTTTAAAAGGACCGTTCTGATCAGAGGAGTCTCTTGAGGAATGGCTTCCGGCTCGAGAGTACTCACTCTCAGCTCACTCCCACTGTCTCAGTCCCACCTTTGTTGTCTACACGCTGGTGCTCGATTTCGTGGCGGGCACGGTGCTTTCATCTGTTTTGTTCGCGTGGGTTCCCTTGAGTTATCTGCGCTTGTTTGCTGGGTACTTTGATGATGTCCATCGATTTCGTGGGGTAAAAGGAGGTCTGTGTCTGTGTCTGTGTCTGTGTCTGTGTCTGTGTCTGTGTCTGTGTCTGTGTCTGTGTCTGTGTCTGTGTCTGTGTCTGTGTGTGTGTCTGTGTCTGTGTCTGTGTCTGTGTGTGTGTGGTCTATTTCTGACTGCAACCGCACATGGACCGTTCACTAGCATGTTCGAAGCAAACTCCCATGTTCGGTATTTAGTGCTGTACTTCAACACAGAGAACGCCTACACTTGCAGAGGGTGAACATTTGATGTTGAAAGCGAGGAAATGACCCAAAGGCAAACACTGCAAGCAGATTGGAGTTTGCATATGGACGGTTGGAGAGGGCCCGACACGTGGAATTCCGCGCTGGGATCCACACTGCGTAGCCCATTTTTTCCTCGGTTGTTGGGAAGGTGGGGGGGGGGGCGGGACACCAAAACACATATTGCTTTTCTCAAGAGGGGATGCTTTCAAACATGACTTACCTTCATCCCCATGCTTTGACATGGATTGCCTTTATGTGCGGACTGCTTCTGCCGAGGTGCCTGCAGGTGGAGGTCGGCTTTTCGCCCCTCATAGATTTGGAGGACCCTGATGCTTGATCGCTTGGTACGTGTTTTACGTGACCCGTTTTTATGTAGGATTACTGTTTGCAACCCTGTGCCACACCATAGGGCAACAGACCTATTGCGGACTGTAAATGGCTGTAAATATCAACATGAACATCTGCCAAAATGATCGGACATAATTTCCCGTGTTTTATTTTGTCCACAAAGGGGTCCACCCACTCAAGATGTATAGCCAATTTTGCAGCAAAAGAACAATGGGGTGCAGGGGTGCTGCAGCTGTATTTCCGGTTTCTGTAGAGGGACCCCAGTGGTAAGCACATTCTGCCACGGGAACTGAGCGAAGAATGGTTTCTGTTCGCCATGAGGCCCCCGTTTGGAAAAATGAAACACGCATGGACATTGTGCGTGTGTGTATGTCTGCGCGCCCCCTCCCTTAGTTGGAATCGGAATCCTTCAAGAAATGCCCCCGAACTCTGTGCACTTTTGCATAGCTTGCAGCTGGGGAAAGAGGCCATTTCCGAGACACGGAAGCTGCCCAGCCTTGCAAATACCCCAAGCGTTTCTCCAGGGGTTTCCCAAGCTCCTCTCTATGACCAGCCCAGATTGGGACTTTGAGCGAAGCCCTAGATTAAACTATTCTGCGAAGGTTCCAAAGATGTCTTGCAGTGCTGGGGCTCTAAGAGTTTTCCCCCACGGTCATCCAAGTATTCGACAGGAAGAGCTCACGGACACGGGGCTCCTCTCCCTCTTGGACATGCCTTCGGGCGTTCTTTGGGCCATCCAGGCGTGCCGCGCCTTTCGCACGCGGGGTTTCTCCTCTGCGGCATTTCGTGTTTCAGGGTTTCCCGTTTGGCCACCTCTTTTTGAGGGCACAACGTTGGACCTTTTTACGAAGGTTTCTTCACTTTGGCGCAGATCCTCCGTTTTCTTTTTCCTCAACAGGGCCACAAGATACGCCCTGCCTGGTGCACGGTGCTTATTTGCTGCTTGTTTTGCCAGCGTCGCAGGGCCGGTTCAGTGTTTGGCTATTGGGTCTCGTCGTTGTGCTTTTTTGCGGCCTCCTAGTGGGGAGCTGGCCACAATTGCTGAAGCACGTCGACTATGAGTTCAATGGTTGGAACCTTTTCTGTGTGGCTTTCAAGGTGCTTCAAATGGACATCACTGATTTGGGGAGTCTTTGGTTTGAAGAGAAGGCAATAGGCCATGAATTCCAGCAAAATTTGATTCCTGGGGACATGAACCGCGTATACGTTGCTGTCCATCGAGTGCCCCAGTGAGATTGGCTCCCAGCCTTTTTGAACATGGGAACCAGGATGAATGCGCCCCTGGTTGATTGCTTGTGCTGTGCCCCGTACTGGAGGAGAAGTCTCACTTTTGGGGAAGCCCTCAAATGATGCAGGTTGATCGATCCGGGGTGGAGTCCCTCGTCGTTTTTGGAGTTCAAAATGTTTGGGGCAGGTAGAAAGCCAATGTTCTTGGAGAACACACAGCTTTAGGCCTCAGAATTGGCGAGCCGGGCTTCAGATTGGTGAGTATACTTTGAGATCGCCAGTTGTTTGATGTTGGTTTTTGTTTGCTCTTGGGTTCGACCTCGAGTTTCATACTTCGGAAACTGTTTGCACAAGAAGTAGCAAGTTTGATTCACGTGAAGGACGGGAACCTTGTTGCCTTGTTGTTTTGAGAGTTTGGAAGTGCTCGGAGCCTGGTTGTACCATGAGGCTTGCTCATATTGTTGTAGAGAATGCTAATTGCAAGAACTGATTGATTGAGAGGAAGAGGAACCATATCACCACAGGCCTTTGGAATGGACAGGGGCTCCGAACAGTGTGTAGAAAGGTCTTCAAGGAAAACAAAAAGGTTAAAGGCTGTTGCTGTGTTCCTCCTGATTTCCTCCTGATGTTCCTTTAGCCGAGTCCCAAAAAAGACCCTAACAAAAAGACAATTGTACATCCAGATAAAGACGGCTGCTTTCGGCGTTCTTATGGTTCCCTCCCTGTATTTGCCACAGAATTACCCCAGTCACCCCAAATTCTGTTGAATGGTGTCCCAATTTCCCCTGTATATGCCACCCCATTCAGCCCTTCACCCCCTGGATGGTTTCCCTTGAACCGCCAACCGGCCGTTCTGCCACGTGATTTTGACCCAATGCCCCATGGGCTCGCTGCGCATCCCTAGCTCGCAGGACGTGCACGCCCTGCACAGCGCCGCCCTGAACAAGTCCGACGGGGTGCTGGCGCGGGGGCGGTGGGGGGGGGTGGGCGGTGCCAGGGACGCTTCGAGTCGATTTTTGCTGCCTGGAGCCCCGAAGAAGCCAATACCCTAGAAGAAGGAGGCCGAAGTGTCCATCATGCGGGGTTCATAGACCCTAAGTGTTCCTCATGCGGGGTTCATAGACCCTAAGCGTTCTTCATGCGGCGGGGGGGGGGGGGGGTGGGGCGGGGTTCGCCGGACGTTTTCTCGCCGAGTCTTCTTTTTTTGCCGCAACAGAGGAGGTTTGGGAAGGCGAAAAGGTGTGTTTGGCAAGCATTTCTTCGGTGTAAAAAGAAAGAAAAACCGCGCGGGATCGCGTCTATTCCATTCATTTACCCCTGGAAAACGGATAGGCCAGGAACGAACGGGGCTGAAGAGCGTGTTTCAAGCACCCACATGGCTGGTGTTTGGATCCGGCGAAGCCCCATGGAAGACCCAGCAGCTTCCAATTTGGGTGGCTTATCCATTTTTTGGGTGGCACAAGGAATGAAGGAACGGCCCCAAACCGAACCTAACTGGCGTTTGCTGTGGGACCCCAACCGTTCTTTTTTGGAAGCCCACGGATTCGCTGACCGGAAGCTGGCGTCAGGTGGTGGTTGATGCCTCGAAGCACGACGTGCCGCAAGGGGCTCCCAGCGAGCGAGCGAAGCGCAGGGGGAAGGGTCTGGCAGTCAACGGGAAGGAACCGCCTACGGAAGGAACTGCCTCGCTTTCATCCAGGAGATGTGGTTTGGATCCCCGCGTTCTGGGGGTGATTCCTGTAGCAATCTTGCGGACGGGCGAATCTTTCCAGGTGTGGGGTGAGGTACGAAGGTTAGCTTTGTTGGCTTGTGAACGGGCTCATGAACCCCGGAATTTTAGAGCGAAACACAAGGGTTCCTTCCAAGGGGAACCAGTGAGCCGCAAGGAGTTTTGATGGCACATGTTAGCATGAAACTTCAATGGACATGGGCCGCATTCGACTCCGCCATGTGCCACTATACAGGGCATATCCTGCCTTAGACACTTCTGCTGGCAGTATAGTGGTGTGTCTTTCTCTTTTTCATGGCTTCGGTTCTTTTCCTTTTCCTTTAGCACCAAAAAAAAGAGACCCCCCAAAATGGCTTCGGCTCCTTTTGCTTTTCCTATAACACCAAAATGAACAGAGGGTGGCCTATAAAAATGGAGGGCAGCCCCAGAAGAGGGCGGGTTTTCCTTGAGCACCACCCCTTGGGGTTGCCTCAAAGGACAGACCAGCCACAAGCCAAGCCGACCCAGGCACTGGATGGGCAAGATCTTGCGCGAGGCTTTGAAGCAGGACAGCTCGTGACAACCCTCAAGGGATCGGCTCAAGAGTGCGACTGGGGGTTGTGGGGGAAACCACACATTTCTTCATGGGAGACACACCGGTGTGTAAGAACCACCGGTGTGTAAGAACCAGTTGGTCCCGAAAATATGAGAACTAGGTGAGACTTCCCCCCCTTTCCCCAAGAAACCTGGAAGAATCCTGCGTTGAAAACAATCCACTTCCGTTCTGGTTGGAAAACGCGCAAGCCTTTTGGTTGCTGCTTTGGTCGATTTTCTTCCACCCTACAGCAAGAACATTCCCAAGCAGAACTGGACACTGCCTTTTTTTCGTTTCATCGCCATGGGTTTTTCGAGTACACCCCATGCCAGGTGGGTGTTCAAAGGATGTCCCGATTCCGCGAATGTTCGGAAGACAGTCCCTGGAAGAAGGCCTCTTGCCCACTTCCACCGTTGGAAACGTTGGAAAGAGGCGAGTTCAAACACAGTGGTCCTTTTTAGACCGGGGTGTTGCCCAAATTTTTAGGCCTCCCTAAAAGCGTTTTCCGATTTGTCGCTCTTTGAGGTATGAGCTTGTCAACCAGGGTGGCAAAAATGGTTGGACCGCTGATGGCGGTGATGTCCGCTGTTTCTTTTTTTGGGGTGGTTCCCTTTTGGTTCCCTTCTCCCTTCTGCTTGTCAAGGACCTGAGAAAATGCATGGCAACCGCGCTCGCTGGCTTGGGAGCATGACCTCCACATGTCCATTTCACCGCAAGTGAGCCGATGGTTCGGGTGCAATAGGGTTCAAAAGAGGATGCTCCTGCAAACTGGAGGTTCAACCATTTTCGTGCCTAGAGAGAAACCACAAGTTGGTACTCTTTTTTTCCCCCGTTCCCCGGAAGAAAGCGCCGTTGCGCGCCATTTTGGGGTTCCAACCTCGCCCTTCGCCATTCGCCCCATTCGCGCCAAAAAGCCCCGCGAGGAGCATGACGAGGAGGAGTTCCAGGCCCCAAATCGTCGCTGGCAGACGGGGGGTACCATGCAGCGGACTCGGCCAAGAGAAATGGCCGTGGCTCAAAACCAATGGGATCCCATTTTGGGAGAGGCGAATTCACCCCATTTTCGGCTTCCTATTTTGGTGGTTGGATTGGATTTGGGTTTTGACCCATGGCCAAATGGGGGGGGGGTTTTGAAGCAGACTCCAAGACGTGGGGCCATGGATCAACTCCCACATGTGGGTATGTCATATGTCTTGGCTTTTTCCGGGGGTCCCATGTGGTTGACATATCGTCTCTTTGGTGGTTTTCCAACCAATGATCATCCCAAAGGACATTGATCAACCCCCCACATGTGGGTATGTGTTCGGTTTTACTTAAGGGGTCCTTTCAGGTGGACAGGAAGAAACATGGGGGAGGTGATGCCCGACCATTCTTGCGGGTGTTCCAATTCAATTGGCGCTTAGAGCCGAATAGGCTCGTGGGCATGTACTACATGTACAGCTGTGGCTCCTTTTTTTTTGACAAGCATCTCTCTCTTTCTGCTCGGGTTCTCGTTTCGGATCCAAACGACGCACTTCCCACAAAGGTTTTTAGACCCCTAAAGAGGTTCCTTAGAACCCTTCCTGGGGGGTGCGCAAACTTGCTTGGTGGCTTCCCAAGCAAGTTCTCAGGTACACCTCGAAAAGGCCAGCCCTTTCTGCCAGCCCTTGGTTGCAACTGCTGACAAGGATCTGGCTGTATCGAGAGTGGGGGTTGTGGAAAAGGGGCCAAGGACAACCATGAGACAAACCATGAGACAAGGGAAAGCCAGGGAAAAGCCAAGGGAAAACTCAAAGAGTGGGGCTTCCAAAGCATGAGACAAACCTTGGGGGGCCATTTGTGTGAGGACCGCGGCAGCCTGCGTCCGGCGGACTGCTGGATCGTGGCCAACCGCATTGACCAGCTCCCGGAGTTCTTCTGCAAGGAAGCGGCGCGACGGACGCTGTTGCCGGTTTCATTTCCGACTCCCCAAAGAAACTACCTGCCTTCCCGTGTGCGAGCCCCCTACTGCTTGCATTCCCCACGTAGAGGTCAGTGCCCCGGTTTCGTGTGCCCCTCAGCTCTCATTGGGAGGAGTTTCCCTTGGGGGGCTCTCCTTGTCTGGAGTCCATGGCAATTCGTTGGCGAGTTTGGGCAGATGTTCCCCGGTCCCTTACAGATATTGCCAGACTAACAGTCGCCCTTTTGCAAAAAGCTTGGATTTTTTCATGCCCCCCTTACTTGGCAAACAGCCCACACTTTTTGCAAGTCCGAGTCTGGGCCTCGTTTTGGTCCAAAAAGCCGCAGGAGAACGAGCTCTGCAAGAAAGTCATGCAGAGGCAATACCAGAATTACAGGGACCTCATCGTCTCAGAGGACGGATCGAGCCGTTTTCGGTTTGAGCGAAATATGCATTTTTAGCACAGGGAACCAGACGTCGAAAGAAACCTGTGGGCTGCGCCACAATTCTCTCTCTCTCTCTCTCTCTCTCTCTCTCTCTCTCTCTCTCTCTCTTTGGAGGGTGGTTGAGATGCGGTCCAACTTCCAGCAACTTTCCTAGGAATTTGATTGGGTGGGCTCCCTTTCCATCAAACAGGATTTGGCTGGAATCTCGTTGGACAAATTGGACTTCAGGAAAACATCAGGTGCTGGGAGTTTAGTTGAAAAGGTGCTGGGAGCATGGTACATGCCATGAGAGTTTCCATGGAATAGGGGGGAGAATGCAGGAGTCACAGGAAATCACAGGAAAGTCAGTGGAATTCTACAGGTACACGCAGAAGCACCTGTTTGAAGCGACCCAAGATGGGATCGTGTGTTACGGCCCGCATGAAAGGCGAAGCAAGGGTTCTCTATATTATCTCTTTTGTATGTTCTAGATATCGCTTTTTGTTGATTGCCAGGCTGATGTGTCTCAGGGGCGCATAGTATGAAGTTGAAACGCTGAAGAAAGAGTCTTCACGCCCCGCCCCCATCTGAGCTGAAGTTGTCCCACTCCATTTTTGGATTTGCCTTGTGCACCAGAGGCCATCCCCAAAATGGCCCAGTTTGACACCAAGGCCACTTGTTTTCCTGCTGGTTCTCGGTTGTGAAAATGTCCCCAAGGTCAAGTTCATGCCTGGGTATTCAACCATGCCTAGAAGATTCTGGGGGGGGGGGGTTCATGTGAGTGCACGGGAGGGTATGATTCTCCTTCATCCCCCAAATGACCATGGCTAGCTTTTCCCATTTCGTGGGGACATATCATGTTTTTCGTGGTTTCCTCTCCCCCCCCTGGTCATCCCATGTGTATCGGACCTTTGGATCAACCGTCCCCACTTCGCTCTCGCGCTTCGAGCGGCTCCTCGAGCGAGGATCATGTGATCCCTGTGGCAGCGAGGCTCTCCTCGCTGGCGATGTACGGCACTGACAAGGCCGGCTTTGTTTTTTGTTGTTCTTTTCTTTTCTTTTTTTTGGGGGCGGGGGGGGGGATGATCTTGTTTTTGTGTTGTTCTTTTTTTTCTTGATGTTTGTTTTTTTGGGTGGATGGGCGGGTGGGACTTTCTGACACTCTCAAAGGATCATGTGGTATTCAAATTTGAATCTACGGGAGGTGGGTTCCTCGAAAGGTCACTTCCAATTTGATTCCTGCTCCGGGGCAAAAGGAGCTCACCCATGATTCGTTTTGTGAATTATCGTACTTGCAGATTCTATTTTCGGGCACCCCCTCCATTTGTGGGACTGCACAAGACTCGCAGAAAGCCTCCGGCCTTAATAAAGCATAATAAACCCAAGGGACACCAACAGTGCCCCGTTTTGGGTTCCTTCCGTTGATTTGCAGTCCGACAAGAAGTCGTGTTGCCGTCGCCCTCTGAAGAGTGGTAGCTGATTCGAAGGTTCGTGGTCTGGTTGGCAACTTGTACTGAAAGCGTTTCAAAGAGCCGGCCGGGAGATTGGCCCTCGTTTCCCTTTGGCTCCCCTCGCCAAACCGTTTCCAAAAACGAAGTGAGCCCGAAAAACGGTGTGTCCTCTTGGCTTAGGTTGGGCATGGGTGTTTGGCCCTTCCCTGTCTGTGGTACTGTTGATGTTCGAAATTCTACATGGGGTGTGTCTT